CCCCAAAACCCCAAAACCCCAAAACCCCAAAACCCCAAAACCCCAAAACCCCTTTAACAATTTTCATATTATTCATTATATAAATCCAGATTGTCTAAGATGAGTTTCTAAGAGACTTGCTTCTTGTTTGGAGTATATTCCACTATGCCCTCAGCTTAGAGGAATTAAGTGGCCTGATCTCATTACATCTGGTTCAGTGAAGTCTTTAAATAAGGTTTTGACATAATGATACTCATCTTCATCATCATTGACAACTGAGAACCCTGATCCAGAAGTGCTGTTTTTGACAGTCCCTCCAAAGGTACTCTCAAAATCATATTGAGGCTCTTTCCTTTCTTCAGTAGGGAGTTTTTCATTATCGTAGTCGATAAAGAAGGACTTCTTACCATCGATTTTCTTATGAGAAGCTTGGTTGTGCTTTCTTGATAAGAAAGCCTCTATTTTATTGAAATTATAACTGATCATTCGTATTTTCAGCCATACATCTTTGAAAATTTTTCCTTCAACTTCTTCGAATTCATTAATTAAAGCATCAAGTCCTTTTCTGATCTTACAGATCTTTAGGTATGATGAAATTCTAGTGACCTGAGGATCAAAAAGTCTATCACCAATTGGTATGAAACTTCCATAAATCTCCATATTCATAATGAAATACCTAAATTCTTCAAATTGATGTTCTTCTTTCATTGAAAATATTTGTCTAAAAGTTCTTCCTGCACTATCAAGCTTCTCGAGGTATTTATGAGCTCTGAGGAGGAAATTATTCAGCAGGTCGTAATCAGTGGGCTCTTTACGGTCATCGAAAGCAGAGAACTGACTTCTCCTTTTGTTCTTTTTCCTTTCTCTCATTAGCCTTTTTCCAAAATGATTTTCCTCATCTGAATTAGTACAAGAAGTGTCAGTGATATTAAGGACTCAGCTCTCGTTCAAGGAGATATTCGAGTTTTCATTTCCAGCTGCAATATTGCCCTCTACTATGGAGTGCTCTGTGGCAACCACTGAAGGTTTTTCTTTTAAAGAAGTAGTAGAGTTATCTGAATCTGGACTATCTTCATTGACTCTTGAATTGGACCCATACTCTGTAGAGCATGAGTTGAGTTCTTTATTCTCTGCTGTCTCTTTTATCGGCTGAAAATTTTTAACTCTTCTTGTTTCTGAAGAACAGAACTTCTGAACTACTTTGTAAATGTGCTTCAACGAGTCAAAAAGTCCTTTTGCTTCTTCTATATTAATAATATGACTGTAGTCATCCATCCTGATCCCCTTTGCTTGCCTTCTTTTTTTTGGACCAATTGATATTCTGTTCTCTTTACGCGTTGCTTCAGCAAGAATGATTTCTCTTGAAATTCCATTATTTTAAAGAAGCTCTTGAAGGTATGACTTCATCATTCGGATCACAAGAAACTACTTTGTAGGTATTCGAATAAATATAATTCATAGTCGATTCAAATTTCCATGAATACAAAGAGAAAAATTTAAGGCAATGTTTCAGAAATTTTCCATAAGATGTCTCGACCACTCTATCAATTTCACTGAAGCTTCGATCAACAAAGAGGAAATCCATATTGCAATTTCTGCCTAGATATGCAGCTACTGGACCTCCCAAGGACTGCCCATGGACTCCAAGCTCTATAAGTCATTAGAATCATGCTTACTCTGTGTCGTGCCTCTTTCGTTTCTTAGGTACTCTACGATGAGCTCTGCATCTTCATAAATTTTCTTTGTTGAAGGACTTCCAGTGGATCTGCCAAAACTTCTGTAATTCCATAGAAATAGGTTTATTCCCAGATGTCTGTAAAACTCTACCCATTCGTCATCATATTGAAAGTATTCATAAAGCATGGCGTTAGGGTTTCAGTAAATCATAGTTGGAAGGAAATGAATCTCTTCCCCTGAATGATCTGGATTCTCAGTGATCCCTGGTATAAACATTCAGTCAATCTTCTTCCCGTCATCAGTATTCAGAACTATGTGAGTGCTTTTTATAATCTATGGAGGTTGGTAAGACATTGGGCTTTAAACAAAAATTTAAAGAAGCAATCTAAGCTCTTACGTATTCTCCATTTCTATTCTCAAGTGGTCGATACTCCCAAATGTTGTGTTTGATAAGAAAGTTCTTGCACGCATTAGATTTGAAATCTTAGCAGGTTCCCCAGTTTCACAGAAAGGTACAAGTTCTTGGAAGGAATTGCAAAAATCTGTTCAAGTACGGATACATCTTTGAACTATGTCTGTACTTTCAAATTTAAACTCATTTTGAAGAAATGATTCGTTTCTTTGATCATAAGAGTCACCAAGCTCCCACAAAGTAATCCTCCGATCTCCAAAATAAGTAATGATACTATTGAAAGACCCTTTAAGAATTTCAATTTTATCTTGAAGGTTTTCTTGGTCATCAGTAATTGTTCCTACTTCTCTCTGTCAAGACAGAGTATATTCAATTGATTTGATCATCTCTCATGTGTTATAATTAACCTCAATAAGTTCTGAGGCTCAAGTCTGGTTATCCATCTCTTCGATTACGGCATCAAGAGTGTCTCTCTGCTCAAGTACTTGCTCGATAACTTGATGTCACATCTTTTTGCATTGTGCAAACTCAACGCTTCTTTTAAAGAAGCTACAGTGCCCAGGGAAGAGCATAAATTTTGCTATTTTCCTCCCAACTAGAAAGAAAACTACAAATGTTACCAGGAAGGAACCATACCAGGTGATTAGCCAGGCCATGAGTGCCATTATGAGGAAGAGACTTCCGAAAAATGCCAGAAGGATGACTACAAAGACCAGCACTATTTTCCAATCATTCTTCAAAAAATATATGATATCTGTCAAAGTTCCCATTTTTAATTTGTTTTTTGTAAATTATACAATTTTCAAAAAATTTTACACAAAAGGGGTTTTGGGGTTTTGGGGTTTTGGGGGTTTGGGG